AGAAATTATCTCAGGACACCTTTCTAGACTGTATTCCTTATTAAATTATTTACAAAGACTCAACAATTCACACTATTTGATGAGTTGGGATTGTTGATTTTGTGCACTATTGGTTCAAAATAGGTTATATAGGAACCAACAATAATAGCAACAGAAATAGTCATTGTGTGTATGGTTGGTTATGGTTGTATATTTTACAGGCATGCCTACGGGAAAGCCTAATGAAGTAGCCTGACACTCAATTGGACTAGCTCGAATCGATTATCAGGGTGGGTCTGACACTTAACTCAAGGGTCAAAACCTGTAAACTGGAGTTTACATAGAATGGACAGAAACTGACAAATCTTAAAATCTGACATGATTTCTGCAATAAAAACAATATGTAGATGTTGCTATCATAATTCTGTCCTTGTGGAACCAATACATGTGTCCCTGCTTATTGTTCAAATCAAACAGAATGACTCATTTGATTTTCATTTACACTTACTTACTTGCTCAGTAGTTTTATCATTAATAAACTTCTATAGCTTGCTTGATTTAAATGCAAATGTTTTCTTTTTTCAAAAGATGAATACATTTTCATGGCAGAAGGCAGAATGCATTATTTAAGTGGCAACAAGCTTGTCAAAAAGGGAGCGTTATGGTGTGAACTGTGTGTTTAATATATCTGTTATCATTGCAAATAGTAGTATATAGTATTTTTTTTCAGTGGAGGACAGACACTGATTAAAAAAAGATACCTCAAATAGATTTTTTATCAAAAGCAGTGGTGGCAAAAAACTGAACTTTTTACAAATACTGGTTTTCTAATTTATAATCCTTAACCATATAAAGACATTTTGTAAAACTTGTGACTCCAGGAGTTGTGCTGAAAAAGGGATGAATGATGAATTAAGACTTGCAGGGGGGTAGGAAGACAACAAGATACATATGGGAAGAATATATTTTCATGGGAATGATGAAACTGTTCAAAGCAAGTTTGCACAGCTATCCTTGTTAGG